ACACAGTAGCATTAAGCTGCTATTTTACGCTGGTATTCTGTGAGAGCGTGGTCCTTCCCCGGTCGAGCCGACCCATTCGTGCTACAACTATACCCGAAATATAGCTGCAGCATGGCTCTACCAATTTCCCTGTCGTTATAATAAGGATGTTTGACTTGCAATAAACATAAATGCGATTTATATTTTTCATTTACTTCTAATACAAAGTTACGTGCAGACGTAGACACAATAACATATAATTCGATCCGGAGAATTTTGTTTAAACGTTTCATAGTCTAAGCCACGGAGCTCCTATAATCCAGTAGATGTACCGCTGTCAATACCAGAGCACAAAGAATCACAAAAAATGGAGGTGGTTTTGCCCATTCACAGACAATTCGGACGGCTTCCAAATGGCGTGGCGTATGTTTTTGACAGCCGCGGATGACGTCCATTTGGACTGGACGCATGGATTTCAATCCGTTTGATAATCTAGAGCTGGACGACATCCATTTAAATGGCATACGGTTTTCACATCCAGGAAACGATTTTGGAGGACGTCCACTCCATTTGGATTGATGGACGTATCGTAAATGGACAGCTTAAGAATAAGAACCTGCACTTTAGGGTTACAAGTTAAGTTATTGCAGCTAAAGACATCATTAGTTTTATCAAAGATATTAAAATAGTTTTTAACAAAAAAATTTATTATCCAGGGTGAACTGAGAAGAAACATCCTTTAAATAAATATGTTATTTCTGTAAAGCAACAGTTAAGTACTATTTTCTTTAAACATCTCCATGTGAGTCCTTTGCTTTGATATTGTTGCCTATTTTCTGTACATAGTACAAATTAATATATTCTCAACATCAGGTGCCGGTCCCTAGAACAATAATCCAACCTTGTTATATATTTATAGCAGTTAAAAGTCTTTTATTTAACTACATACACAACGGAACTAAGTTTCTTGACAAGGCTTCAATATGAGGTCTCCATAGTAGACGAGAGACTAAGGACCAATCAACGCTGATTAACGCTGCTGTGTTTCGTATGGTGAGTGTAGAGAACCGGAGACCCTTTTTACTGGAAATGAGGCATTCCATCTTAGTCCTAACGGGTGACAACGCATCTACATTTTGATTTGTAATCGAGGATAGATGTAGATGTCTATGGGCCACAGCAACCACTTACCATCAGGTGGACTATATGCTCGTTTGTCACCCTTATCCTATAAAAAAAAAAACTGTAGAATCTACCAATTCAAGTATTTGATTGTTCAAGTTAATGTAAGTAGTAGTTTGATTTACATTTGATTAAGTTTATAGTTCTTTTTATTTATAACTTTCTATTTATAGTTTTTTTATAGTTTTTTAATATTCATCATTACAGCCTTTCACAAGTCCACTGCTGAACATAGGCCTCCCCCAAAGAATGCCACAAAGCACGGTCCTGAGCCACCTGCATCCATCGACTACCTGCATGTCTTACCAGGTCGTCACTCCATCTCGTGGGGGGACGCCCTACACTTCGCCTACCGGTACGAGGCTGCCACTCGAGAACCTTTCTTCCCCATCGGTTGTCGGTTCTTCGAGCTATATGGCCGGCCCACTGCCACTTCAGCTTACTAATCCGTTGGGCTATGTCGATTACTCTGGTTCTACTGCGGATATCCTCATTCCTAAGTTTATCACGCAGAGAAACTCCGAGCACAGCCCTCTCCATAGCTCGCTGAGCGACCTTGAGCTTCCTCATACGGCCAGCAGTGAAGGACCACGTCTCAGTTCCGTAAGTGATCACTGGCAACACGCACTGGTTGTACAATTTCGTCTTCAGGTTTTGAGGTATGTCTGACGAGAAGATGTGTCGTAGCTTCCCGAACGCTGCCCAGCCGAGTTGAATCCGTCGATTGACCTCTCGGTCCAAGTTGGACCTAGTCGGACTATTTGTCCCAGGTAAACATACTCGTCAACAACTTCGAGCTTAGTGCTCCCAACAACTACCGGCATAGGTGTGACATGGACATTGAACATGATCTTTGTTTTGTCCATGTTCATCTTAAGACCTATCCGTTGGGAAACACTATCGAGGTCATTGAGCATAGTGCTTAGGTCCTCCAGCGATTCTGCCATAAGGACTATATCGTCGGCAAATCGAAGGTGAGTGATGTACTCGCCATTGATGTTGATACCGTATCCTTTCCAGTCCAGAAGCTTGAAAACGTCTTCCAATGCAGCGGTGAAGAGTTTCGGGGATATGACGTCACCCTGTCTTACACCTCTCTGCAATTGGATAGGTTTCGTACTCTGATTCTGTACTCGGATAGCCATCGTAGCCCTACTGTACAAGCACTTCAACACTTCGATATACCGACAGTCAACTTGGCACCGCTGAAGGGACTGCAGCACCGCCCAAATTTCGACGGAATCAAAGGCTTTCTCATAGTCCACATACGCCAGACATAGTGGCAAATTGTACTCTTCGGACTTCTGTACAATTTGCCGAAGGGTATGTATGTGGTCTATTGTGCTAAAGCCCTTTCGGAAACCGGCTTGTTCGGGAGGCTGGAAGTCGTCAAGTCTGCGCGCGAGACGATTCGTAATGACTCTCGAAAACAGCGCGGCTCAGAAGGGAAATCGGTATGTAGTTCTTCAAGAGAGCGTTGTCACCTTTCTTGAAGAACAAGACCACCGCACTTCTGCTCCACGCCTCCGGTGTAATGCCACCATGGAGGACGGAATTAAAGAGCTTCTGAAGGACTTCAAGTACCGGTCTTCCACCCGCTTTCAGAAGCTCTGCTGTAATTCCATCCTCGCCTGGGGCCTTACCGTTTTTAAGGTGCTGGAGAGCCATTCTAATCTCGCTCAGACTGACGTCCGGGATATCATCGGAATAATGTCGGATAAGACTCGCTCTTGGATCGTTACTAACACTTGCGTGCGGCTCCAACGATGACGTGTACAGCTGCCCATAGAACCTCTCAATCTCACTCAAAATCTCAGGTGTCCCGGAAACGATGCTGCCACATTCTGTCTTCAGCTTTGACAGTTGGCTCTTTTTGGCAGACAGATCTCTGGCAAAGACTTTGGAGCTTTGGTTCCGCTCGATCGCTTCTTCAATACGAGCTGTATTGAAGTTGCGTAAGTCCCGCCGCATGCATTTGGAGATCTGTCTGTTCAGATGCCTGTATGCTGTCAAGTTTGTTGAAGAATGTGGCTTCATCTCCCGTCTAACAGCCATGAGATTAAGAGTGTGATCGGAGAGTTTTTGTGTTCTTCTGCGGCGGGTCTTGCAGAACTTAGCTCCGACCGCATGGACAGTTTCCACGAGCTTGTCATTCATATCGTCCACTTCATTGCAGTCTTCTAGATACTGAAAACGGTTTTGTAACTCGAGCTGAAAGGTTTCGGGACTTTGGAACAGAGCACGAGGGGGACGGAGCGTTGACTTCATTAGACGAGACCTCTCCAACTTAACGTTTAGGTTCAGTGGGCCTCTAACCATTCGGTGATCGCTACCAGTTTTCACCCTCGCGATCACTGAGACATCACTGAACAGGTGTCGTCTGGTCGTCATAATGAAGTCAATCTCATTTTTTGTCGAACCGTCGGGGCTCGACTAGGTCCACTTCCTGTGGGGCCGCTTCTGGAAGAAAGAGTTCATCATAAAGAGTCCCTCTTTCTCCATGAAGTCGGCCAGCTGCTGGCCCCTTGGGTTCCGTTGCCCTATTCCAAATTTCCCTACTTTCAGCTCACCGTTCTCTCTTGTGCCTAGTTTTGCATTGAAGTCTCCCATTAACACCGTATATTGGGTTTTGGAGGAATGCATGGCTCTAGAGATATCCTCATACATTTCCTCCACCTCCTCATCGGGGTGTGCCGAGGTTGGTGCGTAAACCTGTATGACCTTCAGCGAATACCGTTTGGTGATTCTGAGTATAAGGTACGCAACCCTCGTCGACACACTCCCGATCTTTACAACGTTGTTAACGAGAGACTTGTGGACGATAAATCCGACACCTCCTTGGGACAGATGGTCGCCCTCCCGGTGATAGAGCAAGTTGCCGGATTCGAGGATTACCGTGTCCTCCCCCTCTCTTCGGACTTCGGATAATCCTATAATATGCCAGCGCAACTTGTCTATCTCTTCTTCCAGCTCCACGATCTTCTCGTCAGTCCTCAGGGTGCGTGCGTTGTACGTTGCCAGGTCGAGTCGTCTAAGGTGGCAACCGAACCTCCACCGGAGATTCTTAGCACCCCCTGCCCCGCCGTTACCACGGTCGCCACCGTAGCCAGGAATAGCGGGGCCGCCGGGGACTGGGGGCCGTCTCTTTGTTACATTCATAAGGGGGTATTTGCCATAGTTGCCACGCTTGGCGAGCGGGTTGGCAACCGCAGTTTTTTTATTGTAATTTTGGCTATTATCAGGAAGATGCTGCTGCCCATCTCCTGCCTGTTTCCCTTTGTCGCCTTTTACGACACCCACGGGAGGATATGGGGTAGTGGATATTCTTGACCGCCACTACACGGCAAATTCCGTCTTAAAAAAGTAATATTTATATTACTTTTTTAAGACGGAATTAAAAATAAATATTGTATATAATAAAATTTGATTAAGAAAATAGGTTTATATCAAAGAAGCACGTTATTTGATATACCTAATCCTGTAACCCGTCAGTTACGGGTCGGTGTAGTTGCTAAACGTTGCCAAACTGCCTGCCAAGCGAGAGTTGTATTGCTAAAATATGCAATACAACTTTCATACTAACATAAGTAATTCTAAATTTTAAACTATGTACACAGAGAAAGAGAGAGAGAGAGACACTACACGTTCTAACTAATAGTGTTGATCTGTTAATTTTAGTTGCGCGCGCATTGAAAATCGCAAACTTGTTTCTTAGCTCAAAATTTATCCACGCATTAGTCTCGAAAACTCCCGCTTGGCGGGTAAACGCCGCGAACTGCTAAGTTACACGATGTCGGCTGGTATAATATTATCGTAGTAACAGTAAAGCTTAAATGAATATGTGGATTGATGTTAGCAGGCGTGAAAGACAGAATTATTTATCACAACCCAACGAATGCTTTATACCTGGGTAAGTAAACAACTTTCTTAATATCGATTACGTGAAAATCCTCAAGGAAAACTTTTAAGTTTTTTTTTAAACAGTTTGCCCAGTTATATTTAAAATTCGAAGAGCATATAATCCTTGAATAAAAGTAATTTTGAGAATGTTTTTAGCATTCGCTTTGATGATCGTTTCGAAGTTTAAGCGTGTTATCTTATTTATTTATTAAACAATTAAGTTTAGAAAAACAAAATTTTTCTTTATAGTGTTATCAAAAGTAAAAAGTTAGCTAGAATATTTATTGATAAGCTCTAAACGCCAACCGCTCTTAACAGTTTTTTTTTTGTAGAATGCGGGTGACAAACGAGCACACAGTTCACCTGATGGTAAGTGGATGCTGTGGCCCATAGACATTTACATTTATTTTCGATTAAGAATAAAAACGCAGATGCGTTGTCACTCATGAGGACTACGATGAAATGCCTCGTTTCTAGTAAAAAGAGTCTTCGGTTCTCTACATTCACCATACAAAATACAGTAACATTAAGCTGCTATTTTACGCTGGTATTCCGTGAGAGCGTGATCCTTTCCCGGTCCATTCGTGACACGCCGATCCATCATACGTGCTGTAACCATAATTTAACAGCAGCGTGACTCTACCGTGTCAAAAAGAAAATTTATGTAATTGCAGGAATAATTACATTAACAATAAATAAACTAAATAATTACATTAACAAAAAAATAAAAAATATTAATTAACCTACTAAAATAGTAATTATAATTAAAATAATTAAATAATTATGATGAGAAAAGATAATTTGTTCTATTAAAGGTGAAGCACCATTTTGAAGGTTTAAATTAGATCAAGTTGGCATTTCTATAAAAAAAAGGGTCACCTTTATAAGTGGGGTTTAAATCCAATTTGTTTCACCATGCAATGGTGAACGAAAGTGGCTCTAACCATAAGTTAAAAAATTGGCAATGACGCTGTGTATTTCCCGTGCGAGAGTAGAAGTTCACAATGGAGGAGTCTCACCAACCCACTTGCTAATTGACCCAGTCTAAAAAAAGGTTGAAAAATGAAGAAAACTCTGTTGCAATTTAAAGAGTAAAAAATCTTAGAATTCATCTTTCCTTAGAGCATACCGTACGTTTGTCCGTACGGGTTTGTTATTGATATTAAAAAATAATAATGTTATAAGAGTTATATTAAATAATATCTTAATGTTTTACCATGCGTATGGTTAATACAATTCTTTATTTTATTTTCAATATTTTAGAATAGAATAGAATGATTTATATTCAATATGGATTATTACATAATACTTATTGAAAGTCATTATTTTATTTACCACTGGTTTTTTAAATTTTATCATATACGCCATAAAGCACCCCATTTACAATAAATGCTACTAATGATACAATTTAAAAACGAACGAAAACCAAGATAAATATATTTAAAAAAAAATTGTAATGATTTCTTTATGCATTATGATATTGTAAGTTATTAAAAACAACTGACATTTAATGTAATTATCAAATGAGGCGACAAATGTAGACTTCAGATTTATCAATTTTTACGATTAATTGCTTTATAATAAGTGGTATAACCACGCTGCTGGTGTACTGTGGCAGCAAAGAAAATGGCTCGGCTCGACCGAGGAAGGACCACGCTCGCACAGAATGAGGGCTAATAATTTTCTGCTCACCAGATGTGGCTAGTTGAAACTGAGGTAAAGTTTTTTGTTACACAATGTCATTTAATTGGAAAGTTAGTTTTAAATAAAAGTTTATCAGTTTCTAGAGTGTTATATTAATACACAATACAATGCCTCATTTTCAAGGTTTTCTCTTTAATTTTTTGCACATTTTTTACTTTTTTAATTTTTCTACTTTTATGAATATTTGTGGTTTGGTTAATTTATTTTTAATCTTATTAATATAAAATATAGTTAGTAGTATAGAAAGAAAGATTAACCTTTACATTTTCGGAACAAATTAACTTTCCCGTTATGAAATCTGTCAAATATTATACCTTACTTTTAAGTGGCGCCGCCCTGGTGGCGGAAAAAGTCATTCAACCGTAAACCTGAAGAATAATGCTGCTGTCGTTCTAATGGTGAGGTACAAGAACTCTTTTTAAAGTGAAAACTTCTGGCACGTTGAGCACTTTTGGGATGGGGGAAAGCAACTCACGTGACCGTCACATTCAGATACACAAAATTTATGAAAATAATGTTGAAACTCCAATTGCTTAAATTTTATAAAATTGATATTTATTTATAAATTGTTTTGTATTATATAGATAATAATCATTCTATTTCATGTAAAACAGCGCAATAAATGAAAATTTTATAACTATATTAATACGTTGATAAAAATAATTTCTAATACAAATACTTCCTAAAAAATATTTCATAACAACCCAAAAATAATGTTTAAAAGTTTGTGAACCTAAGAAGTATTCACTTCTGACGTGCTACGACTGACAGTTTTTTTTTTTAATGGAATGATCCACTTTTTTAATAACGAGGCATTCCATCTATATCCACATAGTGATAAAGCAACTGCATTTTGATTCTGATGATGTAGATGATAATATATATGCCACGGTTTTCACTTGCTATCGTGTGAAATGTATGTTCGTTTACCGACCTCTCTCTTCTTCAAAAAAAAAACGAGCGGTTTCCGGAATTGGTATTCGACCCTACTTATAAAGCTAGAGGATGCGAGAACGGGCCTTGCTGACAAATATTTGTGCGATGAAACTATATTCTTACTGCATGTATCATAATCCATCGTTCGCCAATGCCCCGACCCTTAACTCTCTTTCTCTCTCTCTCTCTCTCTCGCTTTCCCTCTCTCTCTCTCTCTCTCTCTCTATCTTTTTTTCCGGTCTCTTAACTCTTTCAAAAATACATGTCTGTTATTTCATTTTTCGAAATTCTAATATCTTTTAATACTTCATCACACAAGTCCACTAGTAAACACGGCTTCCTTCCAAAAAAGTTGTAACGCCATTTATCCGAAGCCATCAGATCTTAATGCCATTCCCACGGTCGCTTATTATGACACCTAGGCCACGGGGCGATATGAGCTGATGGATTCAATTATTTCACCCTTTCAATGTTCACTGTTAAACATAGGCCTCCCCATAAATTTTCGTATTAAGGGGATATTGGCCATACTTGCCATACTTGGCAGGCGTTTTTTAATTTTCGTTGTTATTTCCTGATAGTCTTTCTAGAATGTGCTGTCATCTCCTGGTCTGTTACCTCTGTCGAGAAGAATATAATGAACTAATTTAATTAATTAGGGTACTATACCCATGGGACCAACGATATGGGCTAGTGGATATTCTTACAACACACGGTAATATATTAAAAAATCCGATTTAGGTGATAGATAGTGTTAATTTCATTCACCTTCATTAAGGAGGCTCAGACAACAGATTGTGATAATTAGATAAAATAAGGCTTCTTTGTTAAGTGGTGTCCGATTGCACTCGTAACGTTTTAACTTGTCTATACCTTAAATATTTTAACAAATTTCAATGTCGACATTTTTATATAACTAATTTTTATTTAGTATAACAAATTTTTAATTTTATACAAATTATTTACTTGTACAACTTCGTATAATGGCTGCAGCATGAATTGGTCGTCTTGATTGGGATTAAAACAAACATGAAATGCAGCATAATGCTGCTCTGTTTTATAAGCTGGGTGACGAGAATCGGAGACTTCAGATTTCAGAGATAATAACGAATCTGCGTCCATGTTAATCGAGGATAAGTGTAGATATCTATGGCCCACAGCTTTCCGAACGGTAACCAGTTACAGACTATTGAAGTCCACTGTTGAACATAGGCCTCCCCTATAGATTGCATCGAAGGGGAGATATTTACCATAGTTCTCACGCTTGATAAGCGGGTTGGCAACTGCAGTTTTTATTTATGGTCGTTATTAGGAAGACGCTGCTGCCTTTTTTTTTGTTTTTTGTTTCCCTCTGTCGCTTTTTACGACACCCACGGGATGATATGGGGTAGTGGATATTCTTACACCGCCACTACGCTGTAACAGCTTTTACTTACCTTAAATTGGACAGGGTGATAGTTTGTCACCTTTACTTTTATTAAAAAATCTCCAATTAAGCGGCAGTGCCATCAGAGAATTCATTGACATGTCATTTTTGTCTAAGTATATTTTAAACTGAGATATCAATATAGAATCTTTAAGGTTTTGCCTACATTACGATTAACTTGCACAAGTACACCTATCTCACGTTCCTAATATAAATTGCAGAAAAAAAACCACTATATTTACTAAATTAAATGTGGTGCAGGTACTATCATTCTAAATTTTGTAGAAAGCCATCTATTTCTCGAAATCATACTAATTTTACTTGTTTAACGGCCAAATACTCAAACTCAATTTTAAGATGACGTCGTTATCGACGTTATGTCTCGTGTTGTCACAGTCACTGACTTAAAGTAATATGTACACATCTTAAAATTGAGTAACGTTTGATTATTTAGGCATAGGAGTTATAGAACAGGAAAGATCCGCCACTACTGCCTGAATTAGAAGGCTTCTTTTTTATAAAAAATTGATGTTGCATACGCGCAGTCTATCTGATGATAAAGGTCTACTGCAGCGAATTTGCGCCTACAACCAACTTCAAACGAAGAGGGCTACAGATTTATGTCACCTCTGAGGACTAAAATGGAATGCCTCATAGCCTGTAACAACTATACTGTGCTTCTTTTTTTATAGGATAAGGGTGACAAGCGAGCATACAGTCCACCTAATATTAAGTGGCTGTGGCCTATTGACATCTATCCTCGTTTGCAAATCAAAATGCAGATGCGTTAAATAAACCCTTAGGCAGAAAAGGTTAAAATAAATGGATCTTTCTCAGTAAAATTTAAATCTAGTACTATCTGGTATTTTATAAATAAATTTTGAAAAAAGAAATCTATTGTGTTCTCAAGAAGTTTTCCTTCCACATTGAGTAGGTCATAAATC